TACAGTGCCTTGCGAATGTATTCATACCCCTTCATTTTTTTCACATTTTGTTTTGTTGCTGCCTTATGTTAAACTGCTTTAAATTAGTTTTTGTCCACAACAATCTACACTCCATACACCATAATTGTCAAGCAAAAACACAGCTTTTTAACATCTTTGCAAATTTATTAAAAATAAAAAAATAAAATGATTCAATTGCATAAGTATTCATATCTGGGACAGTTGACATTTAGCTCAGGAAAAAAAAATGAAGGGGTATGAATACTTTCGCAAGGCACTGTATGTAACACATTAACATGCATTTGATGCACTTTCAGCGTTCTCCAGGTTGGTTTTTCCATTCTCGGCTGCTTTGAAAGCAGTCTTTATCTGTTTTAGGCTTACGATTAGGGTTAGGTGCTTCTACACCCTTGTAAATGAGCTATCATTCCACACTGATTTTAGGAATCAATTTAGTAATTTTTGCACCCTTGAAGGGCACTTCGGGAAAGGGACGCCTTTTGTAGGGACGTTCCAAACGAAACTGAACAAATGAATCCCTTCATGAAGGGCCCTTCCAGAAGTCCGTTAGCGAAGGGAACATGCGATGGTCACTTCACGGACATTAACATGAAGCCCTAATAATAATAATAATAATAATATTTCCGTTTGTGATCATGTGATCTTCGGTTAGGAGATCTTGCGATGCTTTTTAAAGCAAAGTTGGGGTTGATTTCGAGTTCACATACAAACATAAATAGAATAGGCTAATTAAATTTGTCTGTTTTAATGTAAGAGCATATTTTTCGTCAGTGATGGAAATATGATTTAAGACTGTGTAAGCAAGTTTAGTTTTAAAAAGTTTAATAGTAAATAAGACACAATTAGACCATATTTGAATAAAATAATAATAAGAAATATTTATTTGCAACAACTGATTGAGTGCTGAATGGAGCACGCATGCGCAGCGTTGTCAAGGTAACATTTGGTCAGTCATTCCCTTCGCCAAAGGAGTTCCAAATGCGTATACAAGACAGTAATGCCCTATTCCCTTCAAAGAACACACTTCAAGGGCTCTGCCCTTCGAAGGGAGTAGGGCATAGGGATGCTCACTTCCGTTTGGAATTCGCCCTTTATCAGTGGACTTGTTTTCGCATCAGCAGAAAACTGCTAAGTCATGCTAACCCCTGTGGAGCGCTAGCATGCATTCCAGCACGCAGACCACATCTACTGCTGACTCAAAAATAACCCTGGGTTTGTTACTATTAAAGAATCCATATCTAGTATTTTAATATCCTTATTGATAAATACAACGTTTAAGATCATACATTTGCACAGCAGTCTTTGATTTATGAATTTCTTGAAAATATGAAGTTGTGCATGGCTGTTGCCACATTGCTATGTGGTTGTTAGGGTGTGCCTGTGATGTTTTGGGCCGTTGTTTATTGGCCCAAGTCGATATAAACCACCCACAGCTCTTTAAAATATTCTGTTCCCTGGAGATGGCTTGGTTTCCTCTTTTAATGCAAGTTTATGCTGTTTCTTTACCAATTTTATTTATTTTATTTTTTTTGTCAGTCAAAATTAATAACCTGATCATGTAGCAGCTTTATTTTATTTATTTTGTTAATTAATACTATACTATTATAGTATTTATTAATATTTTGTATTTTTATATTTCCAGTTTTCATTTTATTTTAGATTGTTTTAGTGATTTTTATGTGCTTGTCATTTTCATTATTTTGGGGTTTTTAGATTTTTATATAGCTTTATTTTTATTTCCGTTTTAGTCATTTCTGTACTTCAACTTAAATTTATTTCAGTTAGCTGCCAAAGCAATCAGGTTCATTATTGTCAACTAAAACTAAAACCATAATAAACATTTCATTAACTGAAATGAGAAAAAAAAATGCATTAACTGAAATAAAAGTTTTATTTCAGCTAGTTTCCAAGGCAACATTTTTAATTATAATTTTAAGTTTAAGTAACAAAAACTGAATAAATTAAATCTAAAAACTGAAACTACATTAAACAAAGACAAACACAACAAAATTACTAAAACGTTAAAATGTAAACAGAAAATAGAAAAATTTTGTCCAATTCAAAATATAGAACTATATATTTATAGAAACTATAATAGTATATCAATGAAACTAAAATAACACTAAGAGCAACCCTGATGTGTATATATAATATGTTTCTTATATGATGTTTATATTTTATAAATTTTAAATATTTTAAAAAAATTATGATCAGTTATCATCATTTTTAATGGTTTTAGTTAACATTAACAACTCTGCAGCTTAGAAAATGAATTAGTACACACACAAGTTATAGGCTATGATGTTTAAGATTAAAGTTTAGAAGTTTGTTTCGTTTACTCACCCGAGACCCACAGCAAGGATGTGCGAAAGGACAAGAGAGGGCAGGAAAACTTTGAGGAATTCTGCTGAGAAGATTCCTCCCTTCTTCATCACACTGGTGTTCCTCATGCTGAGGGTGCTGGAACGCTTCGGGTGCCTCAGCACAAACTCCCTACAAACACATCATTTACTGTCATCTGCTTGAACTCGTTTAGATGCTTTTCATGCCAAGATGGTTTATTAACAGCATTTAACTGTATGTTTTCTAAGGTTTTAGTTACTTGGGTGGCAGGTTTTCTGGTCGACTCGACCAGTCCCAGATCCAGTCTGCATTTTTCTTCATCAGGATCTCCACCTCTCTTCTCCTCTCCAAATAGTCTTCCTCTGACTTAAACCAGACCACAGCAAAATTAGGATGGCTAACAGATGACTCTCATGTTTCTAGTTGTTTATTTCATTGGCCATCTTGGAAAGTCAGATCATTACAGTGATCTTAAAGGTGGGGTAAGCGATTTCTGGTAGCCAATGTTGACATTTGAAATCACCAAAACAAACACGCCCCTA